ATTTTGTGATTATTGAGAAGTCTCGTGGCAATTTTGTGATTATGAATGTTCAGATTGTAGATCTAATCCAAGAGTTGAGAATTGGTCTTACGAGTCTCATTAAAAACCTTTGGTCTTACATGATCCCAAGTATATATATATATATATATATATATGTGTGTGTGTGTGTGGGGGGGGTGTGTTTTAAAATTCTTTTTCTCAATTTTTGAAAAAGATAAGAAAGTTGGTGTGGTTTGGGTTTCCTGGGTTCGAAACAAACATAAACCAAAGAAAGAAAGAACTAATTTCGTGTTCATATCCGATTTTCGTTGCTATTTTATATCTGCAATATACTTTGTGTTGGAAGGTGAGTTATTACGTTAAAGCATCATTTGATTTGCTTTGATAAGGAACCGTATGGTTTCATGTTTCATACATGGGGTGTTCTAAAATTGATTATATGTTATTTTTAGCATAATAATGGGATTTGATATGTTATTATCAACTGATTGGCAATGATGATCTTTTGATCATGAGATATTATTATCACATCTTTATGATGCGATGTGATTGATTTTATCGCATATGTATGATGCGACGAAATTGGGATTTGAGTTGAAGTGTTATTTTTATCGCATCCTTGTGATGTGATATGATATGATGAATTTATCGCACCACATGAAGTTATGTTTATCGCATCTATATGGTGCAATAAGTGGTGGTAGTCACATGCATGTGATGCGACAAAGGGAGATGCTCGCATCAGTGAGATGCGAGAAGTTGGTTTATGGCATTCAAGGGGTGCGACACGTTGGTTTATCGCATGTGTTGGATGCAATGAGTTGGTTTATCACATTTGTATGATGCGACAAGATTGGTATATCTCATCTTTATGATGCGACAAAATATGTGTTTGCAACTGTATAATGCGATGAATGGGTGATTTTGTCTTATAATGCGAGAAATTTGTTATATCACTTATATGCTGTGATAAAAAGAGGTTTGATGAAGTAAATGTTATTTTATTATTATTTACTTAAAAATGGGTTTTCCAAAAGATAATTTGATGATTTTCACCCTGTAATAGCAATCAAAGGGAATTACTTACTAGACCTTATGGTCTAACTCTCATTTTGTTTTTAAAAATGTGCATTATAGGTTGAGTACAAATGGAAGTTAAAGGGAAGAGAAATATGTGAAGGGATTATTAATGTTTTACATTTGTGGATTTTTTGGAAGATGATTATGTGCATGTATCTGAGAATTTGTTATATATGCAAGTCATGTATTTGGTGGAAATAAAAAGTTTGTAGTTACTTTTGTATGTAGCAATTTGTATATATTGGGAACAATGTGTAATATTTGTATTTCATGTTATATGGAATATGTGTTTTAGGCAAATGGGAGTTGGGATGTTACAAGTTTGGTATCAGAGCCTGAATTTAAGAGATTTAGGTATTTAGCATAATATTTAGACTTAAACTATATTATTTGCATATTAAGGGTCCCTGATAATTATAAAACCTTTGGAAATAAATATAATTGGGTTAAAAGAATGATATGTAAGATAAATTCAAATTACAACTGGCCAATATAATCATGGGTTTACACATACATATTTGTGTTTGAATACCTTATTATATTTGGGAATGTGATTATGTGAATATTAATTTTTTGTGAATTATTAGGTGGAAAGTAATTCGAGAAGGTCTAAAAGGATTGCACTGATTAATCTAGAGGAAAGAGATAGTTCCCCTGAAAATATTCAAGAGAACCTATATGTTGGTCGGGATAGAGGCAGAGGTAGAGGCAGGGGGAAAGGCAGAGGTAGAAGTGTTATTCCTTAAATTCATCCTGATCATGGAGAGTCAATCCAAAGAAATGCTAATGAGGAACAGGAAAGAACCAGACTCATGGGTCGAGAGCATACTCAATATCTTGAGTACGTTACTCGGGATATGTTTGTAGAGGAAATGGGTAAGCTCCGAAATACCCTAACATCTATACTGGGAATTCTTGCTCGAGTGGAAACTGAAAGAGTTGAAATAAATCCTCAAATTCATACTTCTAATGAGAGAGAATGTAACATTAAAATGTTTTTAATAAGCAAACCTCCTACGTTTTCTAGTGAAAAAGACCCAATAAAAGTTATGTGTTGGTTGAAGGAAATTGAATCAGTCTTCAATACTAGTTAATGTTTATATGAAGATCGTGTTCGATTTGTTATTTCCATGCTTAAATCTAATGCTCTATATTGGTGGGAGGTTAAATTATTGTCTAAACCAAATATTTTGCAAACAATGTCGTGGACGGTGTTTACAGACAGGTTTAAAGAACAATTCTGCCCTAAAGTCTAATATTTATTTTTCAATTAAACTAGCTCTTTGTAAGATCCCAATAAATGTAGATATTCAAGATTTAGGTTGAGATTATAGAAAGATGGTAAACATGAACATGATGAAAACCGGTCAGATTCATTTATTCATGAAAACAGAAAGTACAAAGTTATCTCAATCTTTTAGACGACTTTCATGTAAAATGAAATAGAATGAACAACCCTAAAATCTTAACCCATGACACCTATATATAGGTCATTTACAAGACAAATAGCCTAAGCCCATAAACTCCCTAAAAGCCCAAAATACAAAATCTTTATAAAAAATTCATAAAATTAGAGGCTAATTTTATTTAACAATCTCCCCCTCGTTTTATAAATAAGCATCACCATATAAACTCCCCCTTGATTTAGTTAGTATCTCTTATGTTCCACTCTTCAAGTCTTTAAGACTTTACAAGCTCCCCCTCAAATGTAGGCTCATATTCTTGAAAACCTGAGACAATTTGCACTTTTTGTCCATCTTTCATGACTTAATTTCATTGTTGTTTTTTACCATCAAGGAGCCTGATAGAGAAAAAACATGAAACATGCACATTGAACTTCAGCCTCTTAGCTTATTAACAAGATTTTATTCAACCATTTGGATGAAAATTGAGTGAGTTGTGCAAGTTCTCCCTCAGATGCGCAAACGATCGTCAAAACAGAAAATTTGACTCTTCAAACCTCGTTCAGTACATGTTCAGCTCCGAACTTTAGACTTGAAAAATAGAGGAGAGATTGACACAAAATATGTCACAAATGTAGCTTAAATCAATGAAGAACGGACAAACGAACACCATTCTGAAATCGAAAGGAGCACGAGTGAAAAGCAATGCTTTCGGTCTAGCATTGTTCTGCAGACTGTGACAGTGAATTAGGCATATCTGCTCATGGAATTTGAAAAAACTCAAACCTTCAAAGTCTTAATCTGTGTTTTAGCGTTCCAATGCAACTGGAATCATGAATCTTGGAGCTTCGAGTTAAAAGTTGTGCCCAAAAAGCTACAGTAGTGCAAAGTTGACAACAAACTTTTAAAATATCGGGATATGGGTTATGGTTAACCGTGAGCTCTGGTCCACGTGAACTCTGGTCCATCGAGAGATTTGGTCCATCACGAACATATGAAGAGCACCAATTACGTATAGAGCTATGGTCCATATAACCAGAGCTTTTGGTTTATCGAAGCAGATCATACCTCTTTCTGATTTGAGGCTATCTCTAGTCCGTCTTAGGTTTTACTCTAGTCCATTATGACCAAAGCTCTGGTCCATATAACCAATTCCTCTTATCTACCTCTGGTCCCCCTTGTGTTCTACCCTCTAGTGTTATGTGATACACGAATCAACATAGAAAGTTTATGTCCAACAACTTTATACCAACTTTCACACACTCAAAAATAAAAAGTGCGCATTGGTTCATCATATGTTCAAAGAATCTGAAATCACCTTCTTTGGAGATCAAACGAATAAGATATGATATATGTACCACAGTCGCACAGATCTGTCCAACAGTTTTGCATCAGCACACTGTTGTCCACTTCAATAATGTGTATGAGCCTTCTACTATTTGAATCTTTGAATGATCAAAACATACAACTTTTGTATCCATCTGTTTTTCTATCTAGGGCCTCTTTAATCGTTTCAATTGGTGCCTTGATGAGTGAGATATAATCAATTTACTACAACATCATTTTCATATTTTCATCATAGTCGATCTCCATTAAACTTTTTAGAACAAAATTTACAAATAATCAAGTTTCTGATTGATCATTTCAAAAAGTTGATTCTAAGCAATTAAAGATCTAAAATCCTTTTAAGATATGACTTTGAACAACCAAAATAGAATCAACTCACAAACATTTCATCAAACATGTAGAGTGCAGACCATATTGTGTAAAGAATCAAGAGCATCTAACCTAAATCTTCTTCATCAATCAAACACGAGATTGAATCCCAAACAAACTCAAAACAGCCTTCAAATGAAAAATAGCACATAAATGATACCTTGAGTTTTACCACGTATGATTGACCATTCTTGAACATCCAAATCACGAATTTAATCTTCAATTATTGCCATAGATGACCGATTGAAGTAGATTTACTTCAATTGGCTCTGATACCAAATGTAAGATCCCATTTTGACAACAATTGAGAAAACTCCATAGACATGTAGATATTAAAGATTTAGATTGAGATTAGAGAAAGATGATAAACATGAACATGATGAAAACTGGTCAGATTCATTTATTCATGAAAACAGAAAATACAAAGCTCTCTCAATCTTTTAGACGACTCTCATGTAAAATGAAATAGAATGAACAACCCTAAATTCTTAGCACATGACACCTATATATAGGGTCATTTACAAGACAAATAGCCTAAGCCCATAAACTCCCTAAAAGCCCAAAATACAAATCTTTACAAAACATTCATAAAATTAGGGGCTAATTTTATCTAACACTCTTCAGGTTAAAGAAAAGATCTAATGAGTCTTAAAAGAGGCAAACGGCTTAGAAACAATAGACTCGTCCCTAGTCTATTGAGAACGATGTAGATGTCCAAGCTCCTATTGAGAATGATGTAGATGCTCGAGCTCCTTCCTAAACATGTAAAAAATTGCCACAAACAAAGAACATGTTCGCATTATTGATGTCAGTGAGAAGTTTTATTGTTGTATAAATACATATTCAAAGCTCAAGATTTTGAAAACGAGATTGTTTAGAATATTGTTGGTTTACAAGAGTATCTCCAAAATAGATAATTAAAAGTGAAAATTATTAAAAAAAAAATGATTTCATCTTCAACGGCTTCTCCAAATTATGCAGCGCACCATGTCATTTCCAGAAGGGACAAAAGATTTTATGGTTTATAGTGATGCTTCAAATTTAGGTATGGGTTGTGTTTTGATATAACGGGCATATGTCATTACTTGTACTTCCAGACAACTAAAGAATCATGAAAAACAATACCATACTCATGATATAGAACTTGCGGTTGTTGTTTTTACCTTGAAGATTTAGAGACATTATCTGCTGAGAACGAAATATCAGATTTATACAAATCAAAAAAGGCTTCAACATTTGTTCAATCAAAGGGAGTTAAATATGAGGCAAAGACGATTGATAGAATTGGTGAATGATTATGACTACAAGATTCTTTATCATCTTGGAAAGGCGAATGTGGTGGCTGACGCACCTAGTCGAAAAAAAAGGAGTGATACAATTAAAGTCATTGCATTACGAGCTAATCTAATCCCTAATATCCTTGATGAGATTTTGAGATGTCAGAATGAAGTGGTTAAAGATGAAAATGTAAAGCAGAAAGAATCAGAGGAATATTAACAAACCTAATAAAGGAAGATCGTGGAATTTTTATGCTTGGAAGGTAGAATCTGGGTGCCTCATTTCAGTAACAGTCTTGAATTAATATTGAATGAAAGTCACAAATCTCGATATTCAATTCACCCAATTACTAACAAGATGCACAGAGATTTGAAACCATTTTACCGATGGTCGAGATTGAAAAAGAATATTGCACAATATGTAGAACGGTGTCTGACGTGTCAACAAGTAAAGATAGAACATCAACGACCCTACGGAAATCTACAATCATTAGAAATTCCAATATGGAAGTGGAATCATATAACGATGGATTTCATAACAAAGCTGCCATGAACTCTGAAAGGGTATGATGCTATCTGGGTGAATGTAGATCGTTTGACTAAGTCTGTACACTTTCTACCAATTAAAGAGGCATATCCATTGGAAAGACTTGCGAGAATTTATATTGATGAGATCGTGACTCGACACGGTGTCCCATTGTCAATTATTTCAGATAGGGACAACTGATTTAACTCGAAATTTTAGGGAAGCTTTCAAAAAGCAATGGATCCAAATTCGATTGAGTATGGTGTATCACCCGCAGACTGATGGGCAAAGTGAACGAAAGATACAAACATTTTAAAATATATTGCGAGCTTGTATCATTAACTTTGGGGGTTCATGGGAAAATCATTTACCATTAAGCAAGTTTGCCTATAATAACAATTATCATTCTAGCATTCAAGCGGGACCTTATGAATTTCTATAAGGTAGAAAGTGTTGAACATTGTTGTGTTGGAATGAAGTGGGGGAGAAACAGTTAGCCGGTCCAGAGATAGTTTAGTTAACGATAGAAAAGATAAGTCGAATTCGGGAACGAATAAAGACAGATCAGGACCGACAAAAGAGTTATGCCGAGAAGCGTTGCAAGCCAATTGAATTTCAGGTGGGAGATCATGTGATGTTGAAAGTTTCACCTTGGAAGGGGATTGTGCGTTTCAGGAAAAAGGGTAAACTGAGCCCGAGGTACATTTGACCATTCTTAATCAATAACAGGTCGGTGAAGTAGCGTATCAATTAGAGCTACCAGAGGAGTTCAGTGCTATTCATAACACTTTTCATGTTTCTAATTTGCAAAAGTGTTTGGTTTATCCGATATGGCCATATCGTTACCTGAAATTCAGATTGATGAAAATCTGAGTTTTGAAGAAACCCAGAAGCCATCACTGATCAGAAAACTAAAGTACTGATAAATAAAGAGATTAGTCTGGTGAAAGTTCAGTGGCGATTTCATAAGGGACAAGAAGCCACGTGGGAGTTATAATTTGATATGAGAACGAAATATCCTCGGTCATTCGACTAATTGAATTTTGGGATGAAATTTTTTGAGGAGAGGATAATGTGATAACCGGGTTTTGATTAAAGAAAGTTTTAGGGTTGTTTTTAAAATTTCTGAAAGTTAAGGGATGTGTTTTGAAAATTTGTTTAAAATATCACTTATACAACCGCCTCTTCTATTATATGTATATATGTGTTTCTTTTTAGGTGATTTTGGATAAGAAAAAGTTGGTGTGTGTATGTGTTTACTTCCTGATCAGAAGAAGAAGAGTATCGATTTCGTGTTGCTTATCTGATTTTCGTTGTTGGTTTAAATCTGCTATCCAATTGTGATTACAAGGTGAGTTTATATTTCAAAGTTTTGTTTGAAATGCTTTTATATGGAACCGTAAGGGTTCGTATTTAGGTGTTTGTGAAAATGATTATATGTTATTTATTAGCATAATCTGGATTCTGTTATATTATTGTCAACTAATTGGAATAAGAGTGGCATAATCAGGAAAGATGTATTTTGGGATAAGGATGACATAATCAGGAGAGACATATATTAAGATAAGAGTGGCATAATCAGAGAGGTGTATATTTGAAATAAGGGTGGCATAATCAGGAGAGACATATACTGGGATAAGAGTGGCATAATCAACTGTTTGTTAAAATGAAATTTTTGTCATATGGGAACTGTTATCGCATCTATATGATGCGATGAAGATGGTTATCCCACCTTTATGATGCGATAAGATGGTGTTATCGCATCCTTATGATGCGAGGAATACGTTTACCACATCTGTTGTATGCGTGTAATGATGTTTATCGCATCAATGTGATGCAAGGAAAATGAATATTGCATCCTTGAGATGTGACAAGTGGGGTTATCGCATGTGTATGATGCGACAAAATATGTTATCGCATCAATGAGATGCGACAGGTTGGTATGTTATATGTTTGATGCGATAAATTTGGTACTTCATGGGTTTGATGCGATGAATTTGGTACTTCATAGGTTTGATGCGATGAAATGGGGTTGTCTCATCTATATAATGCGACCAAAAGAGGTTTGATTTTAATAAATGATATTCGCATATTGTTGTTTCAAAGATTTGGTTTTTTAAAAAGTGTTTTGGTGATTTTCGTCCTGTAATAACAACCAATGAAATTACTTACTAGACCTTATGATCTAGCCCTCCTTTCGTTTTCAAAAATGTGTATTACAGGTCGGACACTAGAAGAAGGTAAAGGGAAATGGAAGAAGTTAAAGGATTTGTATAACTTTACATCTGTGGATTTTTGGGAAGATGAATATGTACATGATTTTTGAATTTGTGTTATTCAAGTCATGTAATTATAAGAGCAAAAAGTTTGTAGCTACTTTGTATGTACCAATATGCGTACAATTGCAACCAATGCGTAATATTTGTATTTCATGTTATATGAAATATGTAAATTTTATGCAAATATAAATTGAGGTGTTATAATTAAGGTGAACATTTATTTTAGAACGAATTAAATATAAAATAGAAACCTTAATTAATCTTTTGACATTTTAAAGCTACAATAGTTTTTAAACAAATATAATATGATATAAAAAAAAATATTAATCAAAGCTATCATGTGGTTTACATCAACACAAGCAAATGGATATATGCATCCATGGACTTACCTTTCAAAGTATCAAGAGCCAATCAAAAAGCTTAACTTGTTCATGAGAAATTGTGTGCAAGAATTGGTCCAACACAATCCACTCTACTCATGAGCCACTTAAATTACCATTGATTAAAATAAATAAATAAATAAATACAAAAATAAGAATGGCCAAAACATAATGAGAGTTAACTTCAATTAAACATGATTAAGGATTTTTCTACAATATTATTTTATGATATACAAAAGAAAATTTAATTAAAGTAGTTATTATTAATTTTATCTCTTAGTCATTTCTCTTCCAAAATCACCAAAATATCGCTACGTTTATGAGTGGTAAGTCTGTAATTTACGAAGAGGTTAAAGTGTAAACAAAAGTTTTTGAACTAGGGCCACAAGTGCAGGGATCAAATCTGTAAATTCATCCCAAGTAAGTGGTCGAGTGCCACTTGCGGACTTACATCAATTTTACAGTTTTGGTTCCTACACTTACAAACCTGGTTTAGAAACTTCTTTTTACATTTTGATCCCTCTTCAAGTTCCGATCTAACGACATTTTGATGATTTTACAAGAGAAATGGCTAAAAGATAAAACGACAAGACGAAATTAATTTTTCGAAACAAAATTTGACAAATGTTTCTTTTTTTTAGAAAATCTAATTCAATTTCTAAAATTTTGTAAACAATGTGCATAATTTTTTTTGTAAATACGTAGTATTTCAATCAAAACCTACCAATATCCAACCCAGGAAATTAAAAACATAAATCCAGTAGTTCAAACAAGATGTCCAAATAAAAACATCCATGTTAAGACTGATAAACTATTCATACCAAAAAGGTTATATCCATTAATAAGTTGTAACGAGTTCAACCATAAATAATCTCTTAACCAGCCCATCAAATAAGTGGAAGATTCATCAAACTATGAAACATTACCCTACCATAATGTAATGTGTTTCCAATGCCAATAAAAAGTAACTCATCCAATGGTATCTAACATCCAAAAAACTGCCCAATAAAATGCTTCCCAAACCGAAATATCACACGTACCGCCTCGTCCTGGGCCATCGCACGGAAAACTATAACCGAAATTCTTTTTATCTGGCATTAACTTGGAACCACGTTACACACACACACACACACACACACACACACACATATATATATATATATATATATATCACGGGGCTAGTTTGGTTGAAAACTGTATTTTCATTGCGAATCAGGAACCACCGAGTGCGTGTCTCCTGCTTGGGATATTCATCATGAATGTTTTGAAAAATTCTTGTCCATTATTCATGATTAATATGGACATGTATCACGCCTGGGTGGTTACCAGTTTGCAATAGAAATACGGTTCTCAACCGCACTTTCCTCTATAGATGACTATTTAACTTTAACAAGTTCCTGTGTTTTCAAACCTACTACTAAAATTCAACGTGTGTTTTAAGGAAGCTGAAACAAAACACCTGCTTAATTACACAGCTTATTTGTAAAACTGTGATGAAATTGATGATAAAATAGTAACAAGAATATATAGATTAATTAATTGATGACATATTAGCATTGATTAACGATACATTAAGGATGAAATGAGGGGCGGATACACATGAGGCTGGTAAGGGTCAAAGGCCCCCAACAAAATGCTTCACAAAATTGGTTCAATCTTACTAGACTTGTGATATTTATTTAGGTGGCGTTTGTTTTTTAAAATGTGCTGAAGTCTAAAGTCTGAATTCACTTCTGATTTTTAAAAGGTGATGCTGAAGTCTGAAATATGAATCAGTCATACTGTTTCTTTTTTGCGTCTGAAACATGAAGTTTGAAGATGAGAGATCGAGTGTTGATATGGATCGACAGTTGACAAAGTTGAGAGATGAGAGATCGAGACAGAAGAGTTGATCTAGAGAAATCGAGCGCAAAGAGATCAGAGTAGGTAGGCGACGATTTGAAATAAGAGGTTTCGCAACCACTTAAATTTTCAGACCTAATAAGAGCTTTTAAGCTCTTAATTGGAAAAAAAACAAACACACTGAATCCTCTTATGTCTGACCGATTTAGACTTAAGAGGACATTAAGAGGTTTTTTATTAAAAACAAACAGCCCCTTAGTGTTTGCTATTGGGACCCCAACGCCAAAATAAAAGGCCCCCAACTATGATAAACTTTGTATTTTAATTGGTTCAATCTCACACTTTCTAGTACTCAATAAACAACAACTCAACTTAATACCTACATACTTCTCCTTAGAACTCAACTCAAACCTAATGTTTTAACGATTTAGCGAGCAATGTGTTTACTTGTTTTAAGTGTAAAATGTATAGAATCTATATAAATAGTAGTATAATGTGTCAGTTTAACGAAAATAGTAAAAAAAATAACTGAAAATCGAACCGAATAAATTATCTTTATTTTGTTAATAAAAACGTTTAAGCCGAAAATGAAAACCCGAAACCTTTTTTGGTTTGGACAAATTGTTCGGTTTCAAAAAATTTCGACACTCCTAAGTATGCCCCCAACCATAATAGATAATGGATCCGCCACCGGTTGAAATTAGAGTTAATAAAATAAACCCGAAAATTATTGATAAGAATTGGCCAATATATTGATATCAACTCGATTTAATTTATTACGAATTAACATCTAAATTAAAGAAGACCAAAAGGTTTATATTTTTTTTTGTAAGGGTGTCCGGGCCAAAGCCCGACTAATCCCCGGCAAATTTGGAGGCTAAACATGGCCCCACTTAAATGTCGCCAACACTTCCCTCCCAGGGCTCGAACTCGGGTTCATGACTATGTCATGCCCAAACCTTTACCACTAGGTTGGAAGGTCTTTGACAGGTTTATATTTTCTAGGTACTATAATTGTTCCATGTTATTCCCAAATCAAACAAACAAATCCTCATATTTATGTCAAAATTCAATGTTAATGATTTAAGAATTAAAGCTTCTATTTGCAACAACCAACAACTATGTTAGGCTCGGTAAGTTGTTTAAAACCATAAGAATGGTGTCTGATTAATTTGAGTTTGACTCTAAGGGTTAAAAACGATAATGCTTTTATTGAATAAAATATAAACTTTTGAAGATATCTTAAAATTTTGAAATATATATATAGATATTAATATCAAATTAATTATTTAAAAGTTCTTTTTTTATTGTGTAATTTCTTTATTTAACTTTTTATTAATATTTGATTTAGGTTTGATAACGAAGTAATTTATTTTTGATTTAATTATATATTTTCTTATAAAGATAATAATTAAATATTTTGTTAAAACACAATGATTATTCTAATTATATTTTAGATTTTTTATATTTAAAATGAAATTTTTGTCCAGTGTTTGATTATGTTTATCGACAGTTAGTCACACGAATTCAAACATGGAGCTTTAATAAGTTGTACTTATGCATTATTTACTTGTAATCCTTGAATTTTAAATAATATGCATCAATAAACAGTACTTCATGTATAAAAAATAGTTTTAAAAGATTTTGTCAAATTTTATAATATAGTATAGATAATTAAATTAAGAAGCAATATGCCTATAACATTGATTTTATTAGGGTGCGTTTTACTCAATGTTTGGTAAAATAAGATTGAACATGACATGACTGGTAAAATAATTAATTTACTCATGTTTATATATTTTCTATCTTTTGATTAATTTATTATATAATAATAAAATAATTATTTTTTTAACAAAATATATGATTAGAAAGTTTTCGTCAAAACGGTTAAAATGACACACTAAAATATGAAGCTTATGTAATTTCCAAATTTTATTTTATACCTTTTTTGTATTATGTTTTTATTATTAATATTTAATAGATTACATATAATGACCAAAATATAGAAAATGTATAGAAATAATATTTTAAGAATAGTAAAATGAAAGTTTAAAAAAGATAAAATACAATAAATAAAATGAATGGATAAAGACATTGTTTGGCAAAAATAAGCAAGCTTACTTTTTAGGTATATGTTTGGATGTATGTAAACTAGCTTATTGAAACGCTACGTGAAGTAGCATTTTGATAGTTTATTGTCACTTTTTCCAATTATAACTCTCATTAATATTAATTATTATTAATTATAAATAAATATCAGTAAAATTTAAATACTACTAATATTAATAAATGTTAATTAATATAAACTGAAAATTAATTTTAATTATACATTATACATTAATATTATTTATTAATTATTTACAATAATCATTAAAATGATTCGCAAATAAAAGTGTTAATGTTACAACCAAGCCATAGATTGTTAAAGCTTCCATAAAAGCTAATATAGATTATTTTCAAAATATTATTTTAATTATTATTCAGTATATTTAATCATCAAAACACAAATATAACAATTTTAACAATATTTATGTAACATAAAAATTAAATTTATACTTATTTTGTTTCATAACAATATTTATTACCTTCTTGATTTCTATTATATTGTAATTTAGTATGATTTTTATGAACCCTTTCTTATAAGGGCATAACTTAGTTTCAAATTTCATCATAACAATTTACCCTAACATTTTCATATAACACATATGATTGTTGGTTCTATAAACTTAAAAATATCATAAAATATTTTGTTAGGATGATTGTTTTCCAACATGTAAATTAATTGTATTACAACGAGATTAATGTCTATTATAAAGTTTATGCATTTATATATTATTTATGTAACAATCAAAACTTTAGGTTTAACATATTAAAATAAACAACGATCCTATCCTTAATAATGTACATGATATTGATGGATTAAATTTTACTATTGTTAAAAAATATATATCAATTT